GGGATAGGAAAGGTAGCAGAATACAACAGTCACTAATATGSCATTATGTAAAAATGTGRRTGTGTAACCRATGTRATTCTGCAATYTGTATTTGGGGTAAAAATGGGAGTTCATAACCCACTTGAATCAAATGTATGAAAGATGATATGTCATGAGCTTTGTAATGTTTTGAACAACCAATAAAAAATAAAATAAAAAGAGAGGTTAGCTTTTTAATGAAAAACATAATTTGAATAAAAGTAATTTTAAGTCTATACATTTATAAATAGGGAACATTGCTTTGAAGTAGGCAGCTTGGATGATTAGAGATCTGACCTTTTTGGACTATTAGACCTTCAGAATACACATCCATCCATCCATCCATTCATTAGCAACATTTATATAAAGCTCATCAGGGTGATAGGGGACTTATGATTGTCCTCCCCACAAGACATTTACATTCCAGCAATAGGGAAAAGCCTAATGCCCTATGGACCCACGTCTTGTGGGATGGTATTGAAGGCTCTGGCAGGTGACACCCCCTGGTGACATCGGTGCTGACGTCAGGTATGACTTATCAGCTGGTTTCTAGACTGTTCCCAGGGTGAGCCTCAACAGGGCTGCCTTGCTAGAACAGCCAGGGAGCCGCTCCATATCGACTCTTGGACAAGTGGCTTTGTGGGTGGCCCTGCTTTGGTCCCTGTGTTAAACACTGCCCTCCCCACCACCTACAAGGTATTTGTGTGTGGTAGGAACAGTTTGGCCCATTTGAGGTCTTTCAATTTTATATTATAAAGTCTGAAAAAGGTGGGTCAATGTGTCTCTCCAACAAGTGACTCTTGAGTGCTCTGAGCTCCTCTCCACTCCAGATACAATTATTTGTACATGGTCAGTTTTGGTACCACTGTCCCAGGAAAGCAGGGAGATAAAACTCCAAACCTCTGTTCTTGTGTTCTGACAAAAGAAAATTTAAAATCAGACACCAAAAGCCATGGGAGAGAGCTTTATTCTAAGTGAAAGGGAGGTAAAAGTAAAGTAAAAGCAGAGTGAGTCCTAAGCAGAGAGCTCTCTCTCTCCATCTCCCAGCAGAGGACGACAAAGGACACAATGCTATCCCCAAATTTATGACTGTTTGATGTTTACCAGGAGACCTGGGGACCACCGTCCGTACTCTTTGTTCTTCATCTCGGGTGGGGGAGTTTTTGACCTAGTTGGTCCTCTCCAGAACTGTCATGGTGGTCATTCTATTTAGGGGGCTTCATCTATAAGTCAATCCCATGTTAATGGGGGCACTGGGGTCAGTAGCTGGTCAGAAGTTACCTTAGTGCACATGCCTGTGCTACTAAAGGAATCTTTCTTTCCAGGTACACAGAGACACCTATAGCCATAATTCCTAGCTTCACACAAACCTCACTGTCAAGAGTTGGTCCCATGCATCCTTTTCTTTTGACATATTCTTTCCCATTATCTTCTTTGCTTCTATTTATTTTCTACAAATTAACTACCACCCTTTGCTTTCTCAGGCACTTTGAAAATAGTTCAAAGAAGACCCTAAAGTAATTTAAAGAACACTTGTGACCTTGCTATGCATTTCACTGCTCATGGCTAGGCTAGAACGTGGACCTGGACGTGTCTGGCCCTTGGGCCTTGGTTTTGTGCATTCTGCTGCTTCATGTGGTCAGATAAGCCAGCCCTGCCTTGGACGGTCCACCATTTGCAATGAAGCTAAGTAAAAACCCCTCTGATTAGATGAATGTGCTTCAGGAGGGCATGTGTAGGGAGCTTTGCCTGCACAATTTTCAGCCTCCAGTTCCTGTAGGGTCTGTCTCCCCCATAGAGCTGTCCTGCCTAAAGCCAGCTCCTCTCTGAACCACCTGCTTCCCATGCCTGCGAGGCAGGATAGTGAAACCATCTCAGCTGATAGGGCACTGTGACAGGCAAAGTCTGCTCCAGGCTTCCTGCCAGCTGACAGAGGCTTTGTCCTGCTTTGG